GTATGACCGCATTCATATTTAGAACACAATTTCAGAAGAACAATTGTCTTTAATAACTCATAATCCTGCCGTTACAGTTTATATGAGGAAAGAAATCCTGGGGATTGGGAGGAGAATAATAAAATGTGAGGAATCGTTCACTTCCTGTATGCGTGTCTGTGTGTATGGGTGTGTGCTGCACTCCGCATTCTCAGATATGTGCTTCCGGGGATTACAGTCATGTCAGGTTGGTCATATGACGCAGTTCTGAGGGATCGTTGTTGTAGTGTGAAAACGTTTGTATGTGTGGGCAGGTGGGAAGAATGGGTGTTTGGGTGGGTGGGGGTGGGTGGAGAGCTTGGGTAAGAGGCTTCTGGGTACATAGTTTGGGGGTCATATGTTCAATATAGATAAACTCGGCCATTTCCAACGTACGCATTCTAACATATTGGACCGATTCGAGGGAGCCTGATAAATAATGCGGAATGCTTCATTTAGGTTAACACGGTGGCCAGTGTTTACCAAGTGAGTGAGAATCGCAATTGTGATAGTTTCGGAACCACCTTGACTCAGCCAGCGCGAATAGATATCTGTCGTGCCATATGACCGACCTAGAGTGCGGCACAAACGCATCTGAACGAGTAAACAATCATTGAAGCGGTCAAAGTCTGTAGTTTACCTTTATTCCGTGTGGTTATCAGTGACGAACTTTTGAAAGAGCAGCGTAGGTGCTCGGCGTTGAACGTGGCTTTTACCACTTCATTAAACAGTCTTTTAAGGGTTTCAGCGGCAACGTCGCCTTTAAAAAGAACGCTGACGAGCAAGTCCTTTTATCCACCCTATCACTGTGTACTTTTAGTACCTGTTCCATCATATTTCGTTAAATGAAGCGGTCAAGGTAGACACTGCTTCTGAGCACTTTGGAGATAAATTTGAGTTCCCCTTCCAATACTTCTTGTGAGCAGATTCTCCGAGCTCTAGATATAAAACATTTGATCAGGTTCCTCTTTAGCTTGATCAGGACGTAACTGTAAAAATTCGTGTATTGGCCATTCCATGTTTTCTTACGGTACGCACGGCGTTGTATAGGTCAATCACGTTTTCTGATGAGGCATACATCTAGAAGTGGTATTCGATAATCTGCTTCTACCTCGGAATGCATGAATCGGTAGGTCTTATGTAATCTTCTTGATTGAGTAGTTCCAGTTTCCCCGTCATTTGTTGTTCAATCTGGTGTGTTTTGTCTTTTTCTGTTGGTATGGTTTCGAACTTGTCCTCTTCTGATACGATAGTTAGAAGTTTTCCATTTCGCCTGTTCGCCGAGCTTGGCAATTTGTTTGCAAACGTTTCTTCACCAGCCGAGGTGACATCATCAGTGCTTGTGAAGCTCGGCGAACAGGCGAAATGGAATTCAGTTCACCCGAGCTACGAAAACCGATTTTCAATATTTTGTCAGTTAGAAGTTTGTCAGTGTATCCCTTCTCTTTGACCACAATCCCAGTTCCTTTATCGGGGAGACTGAATATTATATTTTTATTACGGGTCAGTTCACATAGTGCTTCGATGTCCTTCGATGCGGTGTGCAATACATACAGATACGCAAACACGTAATGAACGATTCCTCACATTTTATTGTTCCCCCAACCCCTAGGATTTCTCCCCTCATTCAAACTGTAACGGCATGATTATGAGTTATTGAAGACAGTTGTTCGCCTGGCTCTGTGCTCTAAGTTTGACGTTTTGGTCACTTATGAGATCAACTGTCACTAATCCCAAGAATGGGTTGGAAACAAAGATATAAAGTTTCATAACGATGCGATGGGTTTCAGTAACTTCATTTCAGACGAGGGAGGGTAGGTATGTCTTCCGCACTTGTAGTCCGGTAGAAACGTTTGAGTTATCACTCAGGCTCCCCTAACCCGCCGGCCCGTTCAAAATTTGCTCAACTTACATCCTGATGCCTCTGGTCAGTAGTATGTGTTGTAACCAGACGGAAAATTCTCGATAATGGATTCTCAAATGATCGTCTTCCGAGAGTATTTCTTGTCTAGATAACGATTTCACACTTAGAACAATGTGTGGATTCTTTATTGCACAAAAAGTATGATTATTTATAAGAAAGAGGAAGGACATCGGAATCCATATACGGAACTGCTGGTTCAGTAGACTGCAGTCCATTGCTGTGATTAGTTGCCGGTTCCGGCCAGTCACCTAGGTCAAGTAGACTTGTTTTGACTGCTTGTTTTTCAAAAACAAAGCAGATTTCCAGGAGTATGCTGACATCTTGACTGGATGAACCAAGATTTTCTGAATAATGAGAATGTCACCCTCATTCTTGATACTGAGCCTAGTTTTATTTATCCGTGATGTGTGTTACGCGTGCCCCAGATACCATCTTTTCTTTAGATTAATATTAAGTATTCCTCACATGTTTTGCTAGCCCATGAATACCTTAAAACGAGCCTATTCACCGTTCTGCCTATTGTTATCGTTTTATATTATTTAAAAAGCATTAAGGTTTCACCAGAAACAGAGTACAGTTTGCCACTATGAAGTAAATGAGCAGTAACGGGTACTGGAAAACGACATGACTTACATGACTTGCTTTTTCTCTAACAGGTTTGTTTAATTTCAATATAAAACATTTGCTTGTTACCACATTCAGATGGGTAATCTAATGCTGGAGGATAAAATTACAGGGATCCAAACGTTGATCATACGGTCATGAATGAGGAATTTCGTCTAGACCATGTTCCTCTTGCTTATAATTAGCTGTCTTTAGGTTGGAGGATATTTTGCTCTACAGTTCCTGCTTAAGAACGTTTTCACCTGGCCTTCTATGGATAGATGTAAGAATCTTTCGATTGGTACAGCTGTTGTTTTGAAACCTTTCTTTTAACTTGATTAAGGCAAGTGGGTGTCATGGAGTTTGATGGTACTCTTTTATTTTTCGTCAAGATATCGGACTGGAATTGATGGTTTGTCAGGAGGCGGCATCGAGGCGATCATCCGAAGCACGTGAAACCGACAGTTGACGAGCGTGCGCATCACCCGACCAACCTCTGGAACCTGATGCTGTGATCGTCTAGTCAAATCATCAATCACTGTCTCAGTGACACAAGGAGAAAGTGAAGGGTAATCGAAATGATTTGCTGTTTCCACTAAGCCTAATTTTTTGAGTGATTGTTATTTGAATTCATTTCTTGTGATTGCAAAATTGAACCACTCTGCCACAGCACTCGAGTCATGTTGTTAATTCCTGGCTCTTTTTGGGGTTACCTAAGTTATATGTTCAAAAAGGAAAAGCTATAACCGTAACAGAATTCAGTGTGAGTGAAAAGCTTTATTTCAGTTTTGCAGCGCAACAACAGAAAACAACACGATGCAACTTCATCCCGTCCTTCATGCTCAGCTGGGTCTGAATAAGATCCCCATTCCTAAATGATTGTAAGAAATAAGGCGTTTATTCGTTTCTTCCGAAAACAACGCGTAAAACTGCCGTGTTCGGCATGATTCATCGGGATGTTTTATTACACACGGAAATTATCACTTAGCAGGTCAAACAAGGTGAATAGTCTTCAATTTATTATTCTGTAATTTAATTGATATGAAAAATTTGGAATCGGTTACGTTTCAACCCACCATAAAAACACCAACTTTTAATCAAATAAAGCAGCTCGCACTGTGTATAAACCATTTCGATCAATTTATGTTTGGTTGTTGTATATAGTGGAGGTCAATTTGGGAATTAATAGTCATTAAGTTTTGAGTGGAAACGTGGTTTTAGGATATCACTCGAGTGAATTTGGTCATCATTTACGATTTGTATGTACAGTTTTCGCTCAATGGCACGCGATGCAGACGCAACCATAATTGAAAGGTCGAGTTCGTGAGTACATGTTGTCTGATAGGTGTGATTTTTTTGAGCGAATACATTGGATTGGCGAGCGGATTTCATCAGCCACGAGTGGAGGGAGACATCGTGTGCCCATTGGCGTGTGCAAGCAACGACTTCTGTCTTTTAAAAAGAGTCAACTGAATTTCGCTTTCACCTGGCCGGTACACACTCATGTGTAGTGTGTCTCTACCCCGTAAAGAACAGCTTCATCTTCCTATATTTCGAAGAAAGGTTCATTGGTACCGTCAAATATTCAGTAACTCTGGTCGATTAAAGCCTCTTTCTCTCTCTCTCAGTTCTCACAGTTGTTTCGGTGCTGCCGAGTATCATGAATAGTACAAATTCCTCGACCTCCTCCCAAGAATTACTTTTGGGGAGTATGTTCAATTGAATTTTCTCTCAGTGTAGACCTAGCATACAGAACTCTTCGGGTCGAGCATGGGACTGTACCGCATCAAATGCTGGCTCGCGACACCAATAGCAAATTGAGTCCGGGTTGGATGCCTGCAGAACAAATTAGGCAATAGTATTCCGATTAACGAATCAGCGATACAAGGAAGCTTTCTGTTTGATGTTTAATTGTGTCGTTCTTGTATGTTCAGTTTGCGCTGTATATACGCGTATGGTACACTGATCACAAAGCACATTCTGTCAATCGATCTCCGAATGTGCTCCGTCTTCTGTATTACTGTCAGGCGGAGGAGGGGGTTCTGAGCCGGAGGTACTCTTCTCGAGTGGACGTCTAGACGGATTGTAACATTTCATACGCTCACCTGAACAGAAACGAGCTCGGTATTGCACTGTCTTTTCAACCGCTTGAGTGTACGTTTAAGTTTGAAAGTTAAAAGTCAGTTTGAAATTCTTTATAATCATACTCAATTTTATATTTACAAATCTGAGTACAGAATAAAAGTGATCGAGAAAGGCAATTTGCGGGTGCGGACGGATAGGAGAAGGGAATCGAAGAAGGCTTGGGACAAGAAGAATAGCTGTGTTGAGCTAAGGATGTCGTACACCACATTGTGCTCATGCATCACGATACAAGCGCATATGCAAATAGATTGCATGAAGGGGGGATGAGACGCCACATTTCATCTGTACAAGTGTTAGGGCATGATTTGCTTCAAACACCGGTCTCACACAGTCGACTGCTCAAACGCGATAGGAGGAGAGATAAATGATCCCCGCTTTGTCGAATAGCATCCACCGCTTGTTTGTGAGTGAATGAGTAGGTTGGGAGACCATTAATTTTCACAATTTCATCACCGATCTGAAAAACAAAACATATTTTGATTTCTAAACAGAGACCAACGATATTACAACATAATGGTGATTTTCCAATATCGTTATCGCTATAGAGAGGATCGTCTTAACATATACATAGTCTTATGGTGTCCAATTGGTGTAGATGAAGACCTTAGCTACACGCAACAAGGCCCATTTAATCACGTCGGTTTGAATAACGGGCATAGCACATCGGTGCAAGCAGATCGATTTCCATTTCGGACTCTTTTGAATATCATTACTTTTAGAGTTGGCTGTTTGAATAGAGAAGTTATTTTGCATAGTCAGCCAGTAAATATTTTGAAAATTCCGGATGCTTTACAGCATCGTCCGAAGTGATCAGTGTCGAACACATAATTACACAAAAACACTGTCTTTTTCGAATCGGAATGGATTTTCAAGATGCATGCTTAGTTTTTGGTTTTGAAACGAACATGTAGAAGGGCTGAACCCATTCACAACTTAAATATGCCTCCTTAATGGTTTTTCCGGTGAATGAACTGGCAAAAGTTTGTTGTACACAAGTAGTTATCTAATCAATCTTAATGGGATAAGTTTAACGCGAAACGATAAGGAAATCATAGTTATGTGTTATTAAAGTGCAACGATTAAATTCGGGTTTTATTAGAGAAGAATCGATAGTAGTTTTGTGATCTGTAGACCAAACTGGAGACGTCGTGCCAATGGTTGTCATCTCATATTTGTGCCAAACAGCTGGCCAATTTCTGGTTAGAAGTAAGTGACTGATTTCCTCTATAGATAGGTAAAGAATCAATGGTGGTCTGGGACTGACTGAAATATACCTTTTCTAAACGAAGACATCTCAGTCTCCATGATTGGATCGAGTTTAGTCACTCAGAAGTACGTGGCTCAAATGAATCATTTTAATTAATCTATAAATCTTCACTTAGATTAGTAAATCCCATTTATTGAATTCATTCTGTCGGAAATCCGGAAAGCATTTGGTCAAAATTCAACTACTGACACTACTGACCAAGTCTGATGTTCACGGGCGGAACAAACAACGAAATCTGAATGTGTTCACTGCTGGCCATCATAAAACAGTTCAACACTCACTTGCATACGTCCATCTAGCTGAGCCGGTCCTCCTTTTGCTATCCGGAAGACAAACAGCGGGATTCGTTCGAAGTCCACTCCTCCGCGAATGGAAAAACCGAATCCCTGTGGACCTCGTCGTAGTGTCACCGCATAGACCAATTGAACTGGAATGGTCTCAGACTGATCGGAATGTGAGGGTTCAAACTTCAATCGCGAAAAAAAGGAAATGGAACAATAACTATGGGTGTATAGTTCTTTCTTGAAGAACATCAGTATTGGTTCTCTATCTACTTCGACTGATTGGGTACTTGCTTCTGATGAAGCTACCTCAGTAGATTTTATTTTGGATTGTTTTTCGGTTGAATGTACATAAGAGTGAACTATATTTTCACGTGGCTTGTTTATAGTTTATCAATGGTCGTTGAGGCGATTTATTTTTCAACTAGCTGCATATCACGTTTTTAAATAACAATGAGTAACTATTGAATCACATATGCTTTGAAATAAACAGAAAATTGCTTCAAAATACGTGTAGATCAGAAATTAACCTGGTGTAGAATTTAAATCTGTTTTTGCGGACAGGGTTCTTCTCATAACTGATCCCCATGTTCTGTCACCAATGTTTTTATTGTACACCATTCATGTTAACCATTACACCCTTATGACTAATAAACTTGACACACACTTTTAGAATGAAAAATGAATCGTTGACATCATTTGATGTCCCGATTAAGCGATAAACTATCGTCAATCCTCAGGGTTTTAACTGTGTAAACAAACATAAATAACCTGTTTGAGACTTGAAAAAGTGCACGAGATAGTTGTTTGGTTCTTGATATTGCATATCACTGCGTCTCAATCCGGGGTCAAAAAGACTTCCCCTGCGAGCTAGACGGCCGCACATAAGTAAAAATCAGAAAGTGTCAAACAAATGGATCCTCGAGGAGTAAGTGCGACAACAGGACTGCAATGCACAGACTAGATTTTAATTAGTATAAGATTATATTAGAAACATATACTGAAATTTAAGCTTTACGAGTGATTATAAGTTTGCTGCCTTTTATTGACTATAATGTTATAATTTTCAGGAAAGAAGAAGCCGCCACTCAAGCTGCCACTCAACATATAATAGAGAATATTATTCAGTTGTGAGGGGGTTCAAACACACTTAATCCGGGCAATCATTTGGTGAAGTTTATCGTTTGATTACCATCACGGAATATATGTATTTCATAATAAGTAGTATGTGAATGACTGGATAAAATTTCCTTGGAAGTACACAACCGGTTTCATGGTTCTCACCGCTCGTCAGGCATGCGTATCCAGTAATCTTTTGTCAGTTCATTCATTTACTTGTATCCAGTGTGTATATTTTCGTCACAATAACCTTGTTTGCAACATCGGGTGACTTTTGGATAGACAGCTCTTTCGGAGACAGTCGATATATAGATATATATAACCGGTTTTAGGATAGTGTATACTTAGAGGTGTAGTTAATTATTTGTTCCAGTAGGTATAAGTCTCAATTCTGTGCAAAACCTTGCCCAGTGCTCTCCTTCGGAAGAACCTGGTGACATCGCTAACAGTGGTCGGCCAAACATCTCTCATTTTTGCGACGTTATTATTCTGGTTACTCATGAGTAATATCACAGTTCAAATAGTTGTTTGGGCAGATTTGAAGTTTGTATGTCGATTGTGAAAAGTTCAGTAGCCTCGGTGGGATTCTAACCCGCGCATGGACGCCGCCTACGCTTTGTACGCGCATGTTCTACCAGCTGAGCTACGAAGCCACATCGATAGCACTGATCTTTTCACATTCGGATTTACAGCTGGTAGAGCATGCGCGTACAAAGCGTAGGCGGCTAGCATGCGTGGGTTAGAATCCCACCGAGGTTACTGAACTTTTCACAATCGACATACAAATATCACAGTTATCATAGCACTGTCGACGTAGGACATTCCACACTTACACTTTCTGTCGGAACCGGTTGCTGCAAAGCTTCTTGAGTGGAATCATTGTGACAATTTGTGGCCTCATTTTGGTCGTGATCCACTGTTACAAATAGGAAATAAGATGAAAATGTTTTATATACAAATCGCAGACGAAACAATAGATATATTTCATAGATATATCAGATCAATCAAACACCTATCCGCCTTTAATAATTGATCAGCGCTAAGGTTTCCTGCAAATTGAAAAAGCATCAAAATCCTCTATTTGAAATTCGAGGGGAATCACCATTAAAAGGCGAACACTATGTACTCTAACATTCACGTGATCAGACTCGAAAACGATAAACGGTAATTTCTCGAATATACCAGTTACTAAAATTTTAGACCACAGTCCGGAAGTTGGAAATTACTAATTACTTTACCGAGTCATGTTACAAATTTATCATAATTTGTACCTTTTCCTCTTTCTTAAAGTGAAGGAGATGACAGTACTATTTGGTGTGGGCCATAACTACGGAATACAAAAACGGTTATCCGGAGGACATTCTGCTACTGTTTGTGTTGTATTCCGTGCCAAAAACTTACAGAAGCATGCAAGATACAGTAAGCGAGAGCGTGTTCATGTGCACATAATCTGGTTTCAAGGCGCTTCACGAGGCCAAAAGTTCAATTTTTGCCTCGGAAATTTGATCATCTCAGTATTCTGAGATTATAGCATAGCAACCGTTAAAAGTAAAAGTTGGAGAAGACTATATTAGTGGTAATACTGTTATTGGTAGTATTAGTTTTACATGCAATAGTACGAATGCAAGTTGAAACTCACACCATGTTTTTTATATCTGGAATAGGGATTCCTGACGTTTAAAGAATACTGTAAAAACGCTTTGAACTGTACTGCGAAAAACTCTGAGCTATATAATTTTTTCAGTACTTTTGTCTGACTATTGATATTGAACGAGATGCATTGCTGCCTTACCTGTGACGGGTTTCCACTCCACCATTAAGTCACTGTTTTTTCGTGGACGTTGTACGGTCAGTACGAGATGTTGTTGGCTTTTCCGAATCAACTGTACAATCTCGGTGTGATGCAAACCTGACAACATTTGTCCGTTGATCGCCACAATCCGATTGCCAACCCTCAGCTGGCCACATTTGTCAGCTGGACTGCCGGGAATAATGCGACCTAACGAGATATATGTAGGTATTCAATCAAAAACACTAGAGTTGAGAGTATGTTTATGTGTTTAATGGCTACATTCATCATTGTGTCACTGATGAAACCAAAAATTCGGGTAATGTATTCAACGATGTAAAACTAGCGATAAGACAAACTTTTGTATGCAAGCTCCTAACATCTGGAACAAGCTTCCGTACTATACATACAACACGTCCAATAAATCAGATGCAAGGACCATTAGGCACTTCGTGATTCCATCAAGTTTAGAAGTGCTTAACTGGAAAGGATTACACCTTTCTCATGTATAAAAATCACGAACCCCGTCTCCCAAAGCCACTTCTGTATGCTTGTTGAACTCAGTGAGATCTTTTAAATGTTCATCAGTGTTCGAGGTGGCTTTGCACTGTATTTACAAGATCAAAATCAATGACTGATTTTACCTGGTTGGAGTTCTCGGATGTTTATTGGTGCAGTTTGGAGGATGCACTCATTTTATGTGAGTGATTTTTATTAATAAGGGACTTCAGAAACGTTGATATGGGTAAGTGGAACGGTAGCTGTAATTCTTTGTTAAAGCTTAAGAAAAATAATGAGGTAATTCTGAAGTGGTCAAGCAAATGCAAACTTCTCTCAGTGTGAAAAAAAGAAGTGAAACCGTGATTGGAACTTCAACTCGTTGCATAACTTGTGACCAGGCGATTGCGCGTACACCAATCACATGCACGCGATGTGGTTGTGATAGTACGGTGTAACACGATAGTACCTTTTCCTTTTTATTTTACTTCCTCTCATTGAATATACAAAGAAGCGATTTTCAGAAAGGGGCAAGCGGCCAATCAAAGGCCTACCATTCAACACACAATGGAGGAAGTTAGGCGGTGGTGGTCGGATTCGAACACACGTCCTTTGAGGTGATAATTTGGNTGACGTTATCACCGGGCCAGCACCTGGTAATTCACATGCGTTAAAATGCTGCGCGCGCCGAACAAGCAGTGACAAAAAAGTACGACCACTCGTTTACAAGACGTAGTGTATAAGCAACCTTAACTACAATTATAAGCTGAGCTATCATTCCAGTAGACTGAGCCTCATGAATAACATTTCAACGTTAATACTGAAGAGAATGAGAAGTAATGTCGAAACAGAACGATCACGTTATAGATTCTCTTGTCTGTATTGGTGGTTGGACCTTTATGTCTATCGCCGGAGCTTTCATTTGCATTTAATAAACACAGTGCCAGTCATAGTTGTAATGATTTGAGTCAACTATGAGTGGTCTTCCTACGATCGTAGTTGATAGTCTGATGGCACTATGGCAACTATGGCAGACTTACTCGCCCCAGCATCCTCATTTCCAGATCACTGCCAACGGGTGTGTGTGGCTGACTCACCTAGTGCGCTTTCACAACCCCGAACACACCCCGTTTATATGGTCCTTCTCATTTCAAAATCCAATTCTCTACGTGACTCATTCCCACGCTTGCCAAGCACGTGACTACTACAACTAACTGCGCGTACGCAATACTGTGTGAGCCAATCACCAAGTTTAGTTTTGCTTTCCATTCAGGGCCTATTAATGCATCACTTTCCCTATGGGAATTTTGATTTGTACGGCGCTCCCATATTAATGTTTTGATTGCCGACATGTCTGCGTGATAAAAATGCATGTTGCCAATCGAGTCACATGTGCTAGACACACTGTGATGAGGAACAGATGGTTGATCGTTTGGGTTGTTAAGTGCAAAACATTTGCCCCATTTTATTCACACTTCTTTGGAAAATTGATGGCTGAATGTTTTATGCGGTGTGTGTGGGGGGTAGATGGTGTGGGTAGATGGTCCACGATTCTCACGTAACATAAATATCTGATTGTGCCAGACGAGGTTTTGGTGCAATGAATCAGTTGCCGTTCATTTTCTCCTTGTTTCTTAAGCGGGCGTAAAAAATTCGTCGGAAGAGACCCGACAGAATTGGACCAACGTTTCACACACGGAACAGTAGTGTATGCTCTGAATTAAAAAAAATCAAATCCATATTTTACTCACTTAGTGCATTGTTTTCTGTGTTCGTTAGGATAAAAGTTAAATTGAAAATAACATTTATGTTTATTTATGTTGATGACGGGGAATCGAAGCAAGTTATCTTAAGAGTACTCGTGCGAATAAATGTTTCGTGATGTTATCTTCCGGTTGATTCTTGGTTCCAATCCCTAACAGGATTGATAAATACATACTACTGGTTATATTCACTAAAACTAAAATATTTGTAAAGAGGTGCACTAATGTTATAATAGCTATTATTATTGGTATTGCATTTTACCAATATTATGATTCTTACTTTAGCGAAAGCCAATCATTCACTTTTCGTCTTCCATTTGAAGTTGTAAGTTTTCAAAACTGAAGCTCATGTGGCATTGCATAAAACCCAACTTTTAGTTCAACATTCAAGTTTAGCTCTTAATCAACTCATGCCAACATTCATAGTCGTTTTTCTGTGGTCAATTTTGTTCAAACTCTGAATAAAATATCTGGATCTGTTCGGATACTTATTCACAGATTTTATTTAATTTGAGAACCAATGCGTTTTATGGGAGAATCGACAATTTTCGGTGCAATATCAAAATACGAATGGGAATAATAAAGCTTGGTCAATACTTGTAATGTACATTGAAACAATATACTACTGAATACTTAATAATTGAGCGATTGATTGCGTTAACTTCAATTGATTTCATAATATGACACTATTTTGCGCTCAAATATCAGAACATTGGCTGTTACGGTTTTATTCCTACTTATCATTCATTATTTCGAATAGAAACGGATAGCTAATAAAACCTCTAGGATCGGTAGTTACGGAGTGTGAATTGTAAATCATTGTACAAGGTATCAAATTACATTCAGATTCATACAGTGTCCCATCACTGTGTCACTCACCGATCTCACTGGCCTTGTTACTGTTTAGTGAGCTGACAATGACGAATCCGAAACCTTCGTTCTCCTGCCTGCGTAGTTCTACATTGTAGGCGTCCAACATGTCTTCGTTGTCCGTGCAGTTCGTAACTGGCTGTAACGTTGGCGCTTGAATCAAAGTAGAACCAAACGAGAAAGCGGTGCGTGAACGGGAATCACGAGAGAGAAATAATAGATCAGAATGAACATGTGTTGCCGGAGAAATGTGGGAAAAATTTTGAAGATTACTGCTAATTTACAAGTAAATTTCTCTCGTACGTTACTCATGAATAACCCTCAAAGCGATATGATTCTGGAGAGAGAGAAGTTGGAGAGTAAGGATGACTCGGCAGAAGCATACGGGTACACACATAAAATGATAGGTTACCGTGATCAAGTCAGCAGCGAGGTACCTTGTCGTTCAGACTCGAGTTAACGTAATTCCCGTTCTACCTCAAACTTATATGTGATTGGTAGAGTATGATAAGTTTTATTATTAAAAATGTGCACTCACCGACAAGGAATATTTGATTGAATGGAAATCCTTTATTTGGAATTAGCCAGTAGCTAACCGTGTCTCGACTCGTTGCTTTTGGATGTAATGACAAAAAATACTTACCGTCTTTTGAGATTTTTGAACACATGAGAAAGGGTATTTCTGTCTCATCTCAAAACTGGATCTATAGTGTCCGTATTCATCTCTCATGCACCGCAGAGCTCAGAAAAACTAACCAATATTCCTATCAAGCATACAAGTACAAGTAGAATGAACCAGATTCATCATCAGGTTCATTGATCCGGTCGCTGTGCAAATCCCCCGTTTGTCTTTGGATATGGTCGAGAAGATTTTCCAGATTGCGACAACATAAGTGTGAATGCCAAACAGAAAACTTTTATTTTGTTACTTTTAAATCAGATTTGGTAATATTTTCAGCAAGCAAATTTGAATGGAGCAGAGACAAAAGAACTTGGTCAAAATGCCTAGCCGAGTGAACAGCGTCACCCAGATTGCCACTGCTGCAGCAGGTGGCGTGAGTCACGTGTTATTTTGATAAACGATATTGAAGTGGATTCAGTTATGGATAAGTAAGTCTACCAAAAAGTGATGATTTCTCACCGTCATGTGATTATTAAACTAACACCAGGGTCAATCGAATATTGCATAGATCATCGGTTCACAGTCCGAAGGTATCCTTGTTATTAACCTGCGGTGTACAGCAAACATTTTATACACAGGATAATAAGATTGATTTTGTCTGCATTTATAGAGCCACGAGCGTTCATGCTTCGCTTAGCGGTCTGAGACACCAAGCTAACCAGGCCTATTCTTTCTCCGGGATATACTGGTGAGTTTATACGGTTTATGTGGGTTTATGATGGTTTATGGTTTATGAAGACGCGAAAATTTTGTCAATGTGAATGTTAATTTTCACAAAAGCTTCAAGTGACCGAATTTTCAACGTGTCCAATTTCTTTCGGCAATGTCAGATATCATTCAACCTACAACGGTTGGTTTGAAATATCACAATGATCTATTTAATTCTCCATGATGCAGACAGACAGACAGACAGACAGACAGAGATCGATTCCACAAACGAGTCACTCAAACCGACTGTGTACACTCAGTCTATTTAGTCATACCTGATGTCCACCAGACAACTAACTATGAACCGTGGATGTTTTCCACGCTAAACTCCACCCATAAGGCACTTCGGATTTAGTTCAATCAGTGAACAGCTGTGCACAAAGTAACTAAACTGACTCACTGTGTTCAATGAAATCCAAGTTTCGAAGAAATGCCTGGTAACTGGCAGATCAGTAGGGGTGTATAAATGTTTCCCAATACTCCCGAACTATTATACCATTCATGGAACATCTAATCAAAACACTTCAGATGGAAAACCCCCTCCCCCCCAGATTAGAATGAGACTAGTTTGAATGACTTATGTCAACGGGGTCAAATTCTTTACTTGAATTTATCTTTTCCATTTCACCAATACTTTCGGCAGTTTTTTAATTGGGAGCTGGATGCTTTTTATAGAATGTGTGACTGTTTGATTGCCTCACACATCAATCATTATACCAGTCTCAAGAAGAAAAACCAGCAGAAAATGAAGGAATTTTAAACAAGTCTTGAAAACAGCCTCCACTTTCGAAGCGACAGTTTTGACTTTACCCGTGTAAAAATAGGTTGGTATAACCCTTGTGCTAATTCATGGAAGTGTATTCGTATTCTGAGGTGCTAGTATCCCATTTATCATCGAACAACCTTGTAAAGCTACAGAACTAACTTTAGGCAAATAGGTGGCGGTTAATTCAAGTCTGTCCAAACATGAGAACAAATATCGGCAGTTGGATGTATGTATCTGTTGCGATGAGCTAAACCTTTGCAACAAAAATAATCAAACACAAGAAGTTATTATGTTCTCAGTATCTTCCCTACCCGGCAATGATCTGTATGCGTTACACGACGTTGATACCAATCCCCAGCAGAATGGGCGTTATTGTTGAAAATATTACAACCGAAGTGAACGCTATCTTACCATATTCAGAAGCATGATTTAGACATATTTTGCCCGATTCTCAACAACTGTGCCGTTTTTAGCAGAGAAAATAGCATCTGATGCTGAGTCTTCAATACGCAACGAAGATAACATATCAAAATTAGATTGTACATCTTTTATGCCCCAACTGACATCACAGACGCCACTCTCAAATTTGGCTGGCCTAATAAATAAATAAATAAATGTACATACACTAGTCACTTTCGAACAATCAAAGCTGTAAGCTCAATTACACCTGTTCTTTTTTTCTCGAAGACTTACTTCATCTGCACTGTCTCGTCCCGATTGAGTATTTGATTTGGTGAACGAATCGTACTTGCTCGCAGAATTTCCAGTGCATCTTCATAGCACATCCTCGTCTGTTGTGATTATCACAACTGACAGACTGTGTGGAATCACGTTTTCCTGCGCTTATTTTCAAAATGCATGCACGCGCTTACGTGCACACACAGATAATCAGGATGAGCTCTGGATCATCAGCCCAGAGACTCGAATGTCATTGAACACACAGTGACACACGCGATCGCACAAACTTTGGAATCCACCTAGACCTCAGTTTTCAACACGACTCCAGAGAGCCAGTCGTTTGTTTCTGGTTGTCAGACTGTTCACTCGATAACAATGATACCCTTGGAGCAGAGAGAGAGAGCAGGAAGTGATTGAGTCTATTTCTGCAGCTCCCAATGGACGTTCCATCCCCATCATACCTGCTACCCTTGGATTTCAATGCTACAGCCACCAGTCAATATGAACGGATAGAACGAGGGGGATGTTTCTACCAGAGCATATGCTCATTCAAACACCATCCAATCTATCAAATATTCTCCGTACTTATGATAGAATAACAGTTTGCTATGTGATAAACATCATTTCTGTTGTGTCCCTCAGGTTACTAAGCCAACACACACACACAAACCCATATGTGAAGCTAGAATTAACGGTGAATCTAATGGTGAAACGATAAGATGGTGAATGCTGTCAACTTGGCTGAAACGCGATCAGTGAACATGAAAATCAATTAGGGCAAGTCTGTGATTGTCAAATGGATGTTGAAACAAACGATTCTCTCCAGCAGAGGCGAAAATGAGCACCTCAAAGACCAAAGTAGACTTTGAAAAAGATTTGTATGCTGTGCAAATACAATTACAGTACTGTATTTAGCTGAAGTATTGCTGTTTATTCAAGGTTTAGTAGAAGAAATTTCCAGTAGTAACTAAAAAAGCACTAACATTTTGACCGTTGAGTGTGATATTGGTTTCTTATCGGTCTGAAATCTTTGAAAAGTATTTTGGACATTACTATATTATTTTTAACTAATTAATTGTAATTATTATTATGATTCCTGGTTAACGTTGTGAGTTAGGTGCCAGTGACCTCGAGGAAATGAACAAAATGCCGTTTACTGAATAGCACAGAATAAGTAGAAATGATAAGTGAAACTGGTCAAATGAGAAACTATACATCCGGAGTGTAAGTGTATAAAAAACACGAGAAGAGATAACCGGATGGGCATATTCGTTGAGCGGCAATCAGCCCGAAACTGGTAGTGATTCCAGGGGGTTGACCAGAGTCATCGGAGTACCGTTGTTCTTTGAACGTCAGTTGGTAAAATAACGCATATCTTTAAGCTCCAAGAATGCATATATGATAATGATGAGGATTTGTCGAAAAACAACTTAATCAGGTAATTTTCAGTCTTCATCGATCGTTAGTAGGATAACGACTCGTGCCCCTTAGGTGGGGTTGATGATCCAAACTGTGGTTTGCTTGAGGAATGTCTGAGAATTACAAGTTTTGCATTCGTTAATTTCCTCGAAGATGTGGATGTGAATTTACATTTCCTGGTGTGCGTGTGTGTCTGTGTGTGGATTTCACTCCCTGCCGGTCCCATGTGATTCATCACTGAGACAAAAATGTGCAAGGTGGTCGTGATACGACGTCCTGTCAAGATAATAGTGGACTTAATTGAACTGGTTTTGCTCTGCACATCCTAGGTCGAGTCAATCATTTTATTTCCGGTGTTTTCTCTATCAACTTGATACAGTAGATTGATATCTTGTGCGCGGGAATTATTGATTGTTTACTTTGCTTCTGTTTTCCTTTAATTGTACCACATAAGTAAAGCTCTTTCCTTGATTATAGTGAATTCGTTAATTGTATCAATAGGAAAACACTTCTTTGTACACTCCCTGGGAGGGGCATTCCTCCACCTTTAACCAGTCTATTGTACAGTTGCTTCACCCAACTCCAGTAGTTTAGTAGATACAATGGATACAATTATTCATTTCTACCCCCACTCCAGGAGTTCTCCATGGTGCAATTCTATCTCTCTTCCTGTCTCCGACTTATATTTTTCTTTGCCGATGTTTTATGGTTATTGATTCCTTATATGTGCGGATGATGTTGTGCATCGCAAAGTTTTTCCAAATTTCTACATGTTCCCCAAACCCATGCATAATGTTTCAATGCGTATCTACTGGTCTTCATGTTAGGGCCTAAGCATGAGTCCATTTACGTATACACATATCTTATTTTGGTGAATTGAGGGTTAAAATACATCAAAGTGATTTACTCTGGATAGCATTACGTATACAACGAAAAACAGGTTTTCAAAAGTTGCTCCACCAAATACTTTTAAATCTTCACTTCCCGGTATTTTATTTGTCTCCTGATGTCGCCGAGGCATTTTACAAGACCAGGAAACTCATGTTTCAAGGTTGATTGTTCGAAATTACTAGCCATCTCAATCCACCTGATGAAACGTTTTATTTTCTCGTGCATTCTTCACCACTGGCGTTATGCATCCCCAGTTATCCTTCCCGGTCTTCTTATCAAAGACTTTAAACTGATAGGTAGATCAATCTAAGAGGAATATCGACACAGTTGCATGTCTTGTGCAGCTTCTAAATTCGCAGCCTTTTATTGCTTTCGAGAAAGTTCCTACAGAGTACTACTAGACCCAACTCATCCTCTTTATTTACATCTTAGTGATTGCATTTCTACACCTACCACTCGCTTCAACTGTAAACACATAGCAGCAGCACGCCATAAAACATACGTCTTCTGTGGTACTGTACTTGCATGATTTCTTACAGACAGTTACCGTGGCGTTGCAAGTCCTAAGTCGTAATTCGTCGATTGTACTTGATCGATTATGCATGCAGTGTTTCATCATGCTTTTTGTACTGCATGCCTACTTTTACTACGAAGGGAGATTATGTAGGGCGAATTGAAGCGATTTCTTGACTTGTATTGTGTTTCATCTCTCAACCTACTAATGCCTCTTGGGAAATCTCACGTGAAATTTATCTCTCGATGCAGACATCGTAAGATAATATGAAACGGTGTCTCAATGCAATCGCGAGGATAGAAAATAGATTTTTCGCGCATATCTCCTGGTGTTTGAGGAGGGAAGAACTACATGCATTTTCATCACACACCTCACTGCGTGATAGACGAATTAGAAATCAGTAATACAATACCCATATGAATTTGAGTGTGCTTTCTTCTGAATCGTTCATAATCAAATCATTTAGGTAGAGAAATGAATTCATTCTGTCGGAAGTTTGAAAGATTCGAGTGAAAACATACGAGAGATTTCATGTGAAGCAGAGGTGTGTATCACTCGTGAGCTCGTGCTCTCTCTTTCTCTTTTTTTATGTTGTTTCTCGATCTGTGTGCACTCCCCGATTCACATCAATCTCTGTTTTAAGGCTCTCAAATGATCCGGGCTGACTGATTGCCTGTCTGCATGGTGCACGGAGTGACTACTGCTCTGTGTTTAGTTCGCTGACCTGTGCACGTCCCAAGGTGAAGGAACAAATTGTAAATTCCTCAACTGCTTTAATTATTGAGGTGAAATTTCTATTGGGAGTACTTTGATACGCAAACATTATCAATAAGCCCAGTCTTTTTTGTTTCTCTTGTTGGAACTACTATAATAACCAAAAAGGTAGCCGAATTCTACAGCAGTTTACTTTGATTGAATACGAATAAAAAAGCCAAACTCTTTCAAAAAGACAAACAAGATGAATTTACATTATCTAGATTGATTCTGAACTGGAACACAGAAAATTTGATTTGTAGATCGGTTAACAATAGAGCCGTCAAGTTGTCTGTTATGACGCTAGGTGTTATTCGGACAAATATATTTTAGTCAGTCCTATTCGGATTGGTATATGATTGGAGGGATTTGTTAACAAAAATACACGTTTGATGGTTATGTCCATGGTTTAAATCAGAGCGGAAAACAGGGCCAGGTTTCAACCGCAACTAATAGCTAAATGAATAACATGCACGTAAAACGCTGCTGTGGAGAAATATATTCCAATTGCGTCACGACCGAGAACAAATGGTGGTGGTGAACCATCAGAAGATCATATGTCAATCTGTGTTGGTTCTTCTCAGCATACTCATAATAATACGCTTTAAATGATAACATAGCAGTCTGTTACAATTTGGATATGTTTCAAAGCAATGTTCGCAGTTCATTGAGGAAGAAATACTATACAAAGAAATGTGGAAACTACTCTCAAAACCACCTGTCATCACTTGTACAGTATAATTTGTCCGTCTTTATTCCTTTGTTGTTTCACTTCTTCCAGGTCTGAAGAATTTTGTGCGTGCTATGTGAAATAACAATTACGCTGTGAATACAAACGCCAATTTTTTACTTTGTTCAACTTTCAATCATGCAGTTTCATGGAGCGGTTTTTTTCTTTTTTAGAAAGAATGGAAAGTAAAAGTTAGAGTCGAATACAAGATGGAGAATTGCAGCAGACTACGGTTGTTAACAAAATGTGATTATGCACGAATGCCACTATTCACGACACTCAGTCATATCACTCAGTGTTTCTAACCGTTGATCACTGCGGTGCAAAACGGTTGTTATCTAATCGAAATCCAATCAGAGTACAAGCACGTGATAAGTTTATTCCATCTGACGAACTAAAGAATGATTGTTTCATTTGGCATTCTTAAGGAAAAATGTTGAGAAGAATATCTTGTGTCTATTCTTAACTTTTATCCGGCCTAATATCATGCATAAACCTTTCGTCAAAGAACTCCAAATATTCAGTTTATTCAAACACGAGTTTATGTATACAACCGTACTTTATTAAGGAAGTGAACTGTCCAATCTGATCATATTAGCTTTGGAGGATGGAAAACTCAGCTACTGTTCGGGTGGTAAATATTCGACATTTGTTTGACCTGAGACGTGATTGTTTAACGAAGCAGATCGCGTTCCAACCAAATCCACAGAGAAAATTTTGTTTATTGATGAGTAGACAAATGTCACTTGGGTTTGTTCACGCTACATATCACAACTGAACAGATTTCGCTGGCAGTGACAAGGCATAAAGATCAATATCAGAGTGAGCACGAAACATGGAGGCATTCTAGGTTTCATAGTCAACAAGATGGTGAATTTTATGAGTCGTCAAGAACAAACATCATTTGTCGTTCTGCACAAGGCTTTTTTGTATCTTCTAAAATACTTTTTAGTTACTATTGAGCAAGCGTAATCCCGTAATCAATGAGCATAAGAAACAAATCGATTATTAGATGAACAGTGTTTAAACTTGGGTTCTTTGAACCATAACTGAGCATTATCAATTTTCCAAATCTGTCCACCTGCTTAAGCGAAATAAAAAACAGCTAACTGCTATATTTTCCGTTATTTTAAGGTACACGAAAATACAAGCCTCGTATTTTGAGAAGTAACATATCTACAACTAAAACTTTCTTGTTCAATCCCTGATTAACCCTCCTGTATTTCATTAGTTTGCGGTGTTTTTTACTCGTTCCTCATTAGCTCGGTATATTTGTTCCCCTGGGGTCCATCAATACCCCCGGTAAATAAGGCTGTAGATATTTGAAACCATCACGGACCTCTTCTTTTGACATATGTGACCATGATTTTTTCACGAAAGCACTAAGAACAGATAATAAACGCCCCAAGTAAATATTATGAGAGAGTAAAAGTAAGAGTAACTCACTGGTCCAAGTAAGATCATCCCCGGTCATATTTGGACTTGGTTTGACCTCGGATGTGATCGGGCTGGACGTTGTGCCCGGTTTAGATGGAATGAAACTGCGAAATCGAAATTTTCCCGGCTGTTTACCATTTGATTCACTCAACACGGTGGTCTGACTGATGTTGTCCGGTTTCGTGGATTGCGACTTCCGAGTTCCTCTAAATGTGAGTCGAACTGTGCCGTCGGTGGAATTCGATAGCGAGTGCAACTGCATGAGTTGCACCACTCCATCCTGATCTAGACCGGCCACAGACTGTCCATCCACAGCTACTAAGAGGTCACCGACAGCGACACAGTTGGACAGGGTAGACAAAGTTTCTGGATCCACTGCGGTGACACTGAGCTATAAGAAAATTGATAGGATATGAATGGCGTGATATGTTTTGGATAAACAAAATGTTTTCAAAGAATCGTTTTTTTTCTAGCTGGCTTTTATAACCACGTCGCTTCTTTCACTGACCTGAGGGAATAAAGCTATAATTGACCTATCAACGCTTGTTTCTTTTTGTTTGCAATCATCGTCAAATTAACTCAGAAGTTTTCAGTCATAAACGCAACGAGGATGGAATTCATTTTATGGTTCACTTGGCGATCAATCCTACATTGGTTATCGTTGGAAGTATTTTGACCGAAGGGAAATCATTAATTGTTTCTTTATGTAGCACACGAAGGTGAAGTGTTACAATAAGGCCAAATCACATTGACGTACACACACACACACACACACACACAAACCCTCGTATCCGGATACCAGTTGAGTGAATTGCCTGTGTCCGGGGGACAAAGTGCGATTGGGCCATCAATCGGGGTTGATGGACGAGGAGATCTTGGTTCAAATGTGCACACTCAAGCTGTGCTTGTATGAGGGCAACGAGAAGTGAATTTTTGCCAACCCTACGAGGGTGGGGTGGGGGAGGTAAAAGATTTCTCTGTGGAACGAGAACTATACCGAACTGATATAGACTCAGACAGATAAGAACCGCTTTTGTACGCATAAGCAGATGACTTCTCTCGTATGGGCAAACAGTTAGATTTTACTCAGGTTTATGACATATTTATTACTTGTGAACTGTCGAACAATGGGGTTATCCACCTTTGTAAACCGAAACCTATAACTAATTTTCCTTCACTGGGAAGGCAATTTAAGCCATTGTAAGACTAGTTCCATGACCTGAAAATAGGCTGATGTACAACAAAATCCGTGAAAACTCTGCAATTTCACTCTATACTCAACAGCAGATGTTAATCGGATCTATTTGTTTCATTTACGAAACGATTTTCGTATGCATTAGGCTTACAGTCGGAACGAGGATTGTCGATCCGTTTCGCGCATAAAAATGAAGATTCCGAAATGATTCCTTGGGATTTCTGCTGGCGTGGGACGACATTATCCATGACGGAATTGCCTCCGGTGAGGCCAGACTACTTCGAAATTAGCTTGCGTTAGTAATATAGATTGATTCGACAGAGATCTTATGCTTCAGCTTCTCTCGAGTTTAGTGCAAAAGATCAGTCGGCTTTCAGAATAAATAATAGATTCTACTCTTCTTGGGCCGTTATACTGTCACCCGCTATTGAAAGAATGAATATAAGCACAGAAATTAAGAAACCGGACGTGTCGTTTTGATGCTCTTTGAAAGTGTCAGTTACTGGAGCCAGAAACCTGGTTTGTTGGGGAAATCATGTTCCAATATCACCGCAGTCTGTGTACTACCGTGTAATCTCAGATCAAATTCAGGCTTCACCCGGAAGGAATCGTACGGTATGTAGGATTCTGTTTGGTGATCCCATTTGCGTACATAAGTTCAAGTTTCAAATTCAAATTTTTTATTAAGGGTAAATCAAAACACTGAATGTTATTTAATCGCATATAATACGTACATAGTTGTTTCAGATGTTAGTAAAACGAATTTAAAAAAATAAACACTTTACTCACGTTCACAAAAACGTTGCGGACATTTAAGTGTTTAAATGCTTCATCGATCAACTATTTCGAACCAATCGATGGTTGGAGCAAGAACAACATGAAGTACAATACAGAGTTCCAGATACTACGTACTGTGAAACTGAAATAATGATGCTGCAGACCAGTCAACTTGTTTGGAGTAAAAGTGTAAAGGGATGTCCCTGGAACCAGTCAGTCCTGGTCAGTGTCAGAAGAGTTTGACATGGGTGCTAAGGTTCATGCAATACTTGATATACGAGGATTGTAACTCTCTGAACTCGTCCATAATGAGATGACTAGAGCTTTGGGATTCACAGCTTTTCAACATTTTGGTTGCCATTCTCTATGAACGTTTGCGACCCCTATACCGTAATGAGAATACTTTACATTTCTAAGCGTTGAATTCGATGATCATCGGTAACATGGGTCGATTGTTGCCTGTGGTGTAATACATTCTACACAGCGTTTTTCTGTTATCCATTTTTTGGCGTTTTCAGGAAATAGTAGCGCTTATAACCAAACGATTTCCGGTAAATCGTTCATGAATGCCAGGGAAAGGCGGGAAACAATTATAGATTGTTATGGCACCATTTAGTTCAGATGACTAACTATTAACCAATGCAAACGCAGTGAATTGTCCAAGAAATCCCTTAATGTGTTTCAGGAGCAGTTCTCAAACACCGTATCTTCGTATCAGTATTCGGATGTTAAGTCTATTAAAAGCTACCATTATCGAGTCGAATGTTCTTGTCTACTCATCTAGTGCAGCTAACATATGTGGTGCGTGAACATTTTTGTCGAAAATCATGTTGAGCTGCAGACAGGATTTGGTACTTCTCCAAATACTGCATCAGAGAATTACCAAAACCTGGGTCCATTAGGTTTGAAAAGATCGCCAGGAAGTGCAACTAGAATGTACTTCGTGGAATCCATTCAGCAGGCACGTTTGTGAATGTCTGAAATGATAGAGTGTTTCAGGAATCAACGTCTTGTTTTACATAATTTGGTGTAATTTATTGATCAAAAAAGTGGTTTGCGAACGAGGCCAGAGACTGCGGATGCATCTGTCAACGACAATGAATTCCTAAGCAGCACAAACAGTTTGGTTCTGTTTATTTTAATGTGGAGGATGATGAAATTCTATTGGGGGTATAGGACACATGGCAGAAATAATGGAACCTGCAGTCCGACTTTGTCAACAGCAGCAAACGTCTCATGAAATGGTACGTTTGAACGTTTGGCTGCTTCAAAAGCAGTAGTGAAAACGCGTTCAGTATACCTCAATGCCAGCATTCCGTAGTTTTGCTGACATTGATATGTTCATATAAATTTATAATCCAGGGTTTCTTGATACTTCCCTCCATCCTCTCACACGAGGTTTACATAAAGATTCCTCAGCATGGGGTGGTTGTCCTAAGTGTCGGCAGTTGGATATCTTTTGGACTATTGGAAATAGACATTACTCCATGGAATCCAGCTCTTTGTTCAGCTAAGAATAGGTGATAATTGCTTATGTGATTTTTCGATAGGCTACGTTCTTTAGGAGTTCAGTCAATGAATCTTTTGAAGGATACCAGTGAACCAAACTGTTCTTCCCAGAGAGTCCACTGATTGGAGGACTCAGGTGTCTGACAATCGCTATGGGTAAGAAGTGTGCAAGTGTTTATTTCATGCATCTTTCTAAAAATGTGTGATACATTTAATCGAAAATTTGAACTGCGTGATCGTTGCGTTCCATTTCCTACCATAAACTCCACGCTTGTCGACACACGTAAGTGGCCTGTTTGGAATCCAGTAGACCGGTTTACATGAATATACGCAGGATAAGGGTTAATAAACTGTGTTAAATGTCACTCGAATGTTTATTTGTAGTTCTGTTGTTTTATAAAATTGAGACAATTAAAATCTCCCCAATGAAAACACGAGTGAATTTTGATCAGAAATTATATTTTGTGTTCAGAAATACTGTCTCGTTGACTGAGTCTGAGGAAGCAGGAGAGCGATGGATTACACTGATCAAACAATTGCCATCTTTGTACAGCCTCAAAGTCTCTTGGGCTGCATCGAGGAGATCAAGCGGTTCACATTTAAGCTTGCTGTGTAAATATGGCTATACAATGCCACCTAGTGCAGGACGATCATCTCTCAGCAGAGGAATTCCAGGTAGGTGCAAATCAGCGTCGATAACATCAGCAGCTAACCAAGTTTCAGTAATCGCAAAAAGATCCCAGTGACTAGTTTTCACAGGCGGCTCTACGTCTGGAACTTGGATGCAGAAGTCTTGTGTGTTTGTGTAAAATCAAGTTAGGGTGTTTCGATTTAAGAACTCACTGGAGTTCGAATCGTTATCTTGACTATCACCCTTAGGTTTCCCAACATTAATTTTTGAGAGTCGACTCTGTTGCTTTGGTTTGGCGAATGTGGCGAGAAATTAAATTTAGGGTTGAAAGAAGTAGCTCATTAGCACCGTTTTCTAACTATGGACGCCCTTTTATTCTCAGTGGTAAACAGGGATCTGAGGCGTAATTCTGATGGTCCTCTAATTCCATTTTTATGCCATCCGTGATCGATGTGAATACTTCCGGAGTACTTAAGGCTACATTCATAATCCCCGGACAATTCCCACGGTGACTAACCGATTGACGCAGTGAAAAATTGTGACAGCCCACTAGCTGTTGAATGAACCCACAATCGTTACATTCGTTTTGTTGAAATTATCATTCCTCCGGATTGTTCAATGTGGAGACTCCATGAATTAGAGCAACTGGTGACTGACTTGCGTGCATTTACCCGGTTCATGTGATAGCATGTATCTTCCACCACACGATCCATCGGAAATGATTCTTGTTATGCCGGAGAAATGCTAGAAAAAAGGACCTTTCCGATGTCTTTTTCATCTTTAAAAATAACGCGAAGTGGCCTGGGTTTCGAATGCGTGAAGAGCGGACTGTTATCGAAATAGGTGCGCAATGCTCACTGTGACCGTCTATATCCATGTATACACATAATGCAGTAAATCTACCCGGTGCTCCGTCACATTAGCGTTGATCCCTGTTAGGGTGATGTTATCAACTGTCACCTTTTCCTTTTTGGGACTTGTTTTGCATCTGCAAAGTAGAGAAGTATGACATGCAGAGCCTGAGATTATGGCCGCATCGCTTGCTTTTATTGCCATAGTCGTCGTACTGTGTTTGAGAGTAAGTCGCCTCAAGCGCTCTCCGGCTATGGAACAATGGTTGTGGTACTCGTTGCTTTTGGCATCCTACTAAGTTCAGATGTGCTTCAGGGTCGGTGATACTGAGCGAAAAAAGGTTTTGGGTTAGCATTTTACTCAGCTGCTATTACTAATTTTTCATTCCCAATTGGGATGCCAATAATGCATTTGATTCAAGGAATCTTCAACAAAAAACAACCAATCTGGTTGTGCAAGTATCTGTTTAATTAAATTGCTCGGTAGTTCCGCGCATGCTGGGTGAAAATATTTCTGGTACTAGATGCATGGCATTCCGGTCCAAACGTCTGTCGAACCATATACCCCCGAATCTTGGCTGACTAATGACATGGCGCATTTTTTCATCTCCGGCGACCCAAACAGATGCAGTGAACGGCTTCGTTTGTTCTTTACACGACGAGATTCATTATATAACAGTTGATTAAGTTCAAGCTGAACGAATTCAGTATGATTGAGTCAACCACATGAGGTGTGCAGTAGGTATTTATCGGTCAATCTGACAGCAGTGCAGAGACAGATGTACGAGCAGGCAAAATGCGGAATGACACAGAAATGAATTGCACAAACTATTTCTTTAGCTCTCTGGGAAGAGGACAGCCAGGAGTATACTGAAGCTCATCGGATAAAGTATTCAGTTGTCTTCAAAATAGCACCGCAACCCCCCCCCCCCGCCGAATGGAATGGAACTCACAGTTTTAGGAACCGAGCGGCAGAATGGTATGAGACTTGGCGTATATATCTAATAGATCGGTACCATGTGATGGAACTCACGGAACTGAGTACAATGCGTGTCAACTCAACGGTGTAATAAGATAAATGGCAAAATCTTTCCAATTTAACCGAGAGCAAATACACTGATTAACTGTACCAGTAAGGAATCCACACCAAGTGGGAGATCTTTAGAGAGCAGTTCGTCCGTTTTCTCTTATAGAATATGTTGAAATACAAAACACAGTTGATTCTTTTTCTCAGCGGCAAAATAATCCAATTCGAATCTATGACTTTGGTAGGATTAATTTCTTGAGTATTATGTTTACTAATTCGGGAAGCCATGGCTGAAAGACAAAAAATCGAAATCGGTGAAGAAAATGGTATTAAAACTACCTCGCTCATCGTGGGTTGTATCTTTCATCGTATTTGGAATGTATGACCTTTGTTGATGAATCACATGCTATTCAGTTTCGTTTGGTTGACATAATTAGGACAGAAAACAGTTTGTGTCACGAGAGCTAAACCAAAATTTAATATTTAGCTTCATATTTTAGAAAAAAAACTATTCATTGATTATTTTTTCAGATGGAAGCTTCACAATGGCCTGTTGTTCCGGCCAGTTGAAGATAGTGCAGATGACAATGGATCCATTTATGGACGGTGATTGCAATTTCAACTAGCCATTCTGTTTGCAGCTCAAACATGCACCAGCGTAACTCATCTCGCATTACCTAACCTGATTAGTTTGATCTTACCGTGAAACAATGGAAAGTCGGATGATACGTGGCTATGGTGATTAGCTGATTACTGGTCGTTCACAAGCATGCGTGAGTCTGGACCAGTTGGATTGGTGGTCAGCTAGTTGAAGCCGCGCGCACTGCATCCCAATTTGAAACACGTATTTCCATTCAGGAATTTACAGTGGTTGCGGACCGCGGGATAAGGTGTGAATTTCTACCTAGACTCACGCAAATAGTCGACACCTTGCCTTCCAGATGGCACATTATAAACTATTTGACCGCTACGGACAATAGCTGTTTATTGTCGGTTCTTATCACTGTCTTCAGATAATTCTTGTTAGACAAAGTATTTATCCGTTTGGGTTTTTTCATTCATGTAATTGTTATTTCAAAGTAAATCCAAATACAGCGTTCATCTGAATCAAGGGAACCTTTGTGTCTGATCTCTTCTCACTTCCAGCCTTGATTTCTGTCCAATAGCGATGGTTTTACTAGTCGGATGAGGTTCTGATCAAGCAGGTTGATTATGAAAAAACAGAGACCAATCACTTCCACAGTGATCGGTGGTGTGTAGATACAAATGTACGAATGGATGAGACGTTAAGTGATAACCGATCTGAAAGCCTAATTCAGTGTTTACTTAGCGGTTCGTATTTCCTGTCTAAGAGAAAATTGCATATCTTTCCACCTCGTCATAGATCGCGTGAGCAATACTATTTCATCTGTGGTCGCAGTGACTTCGTCGATCAACCACTGTAGCTTGTGTTACCAGTACAGGTCATCCTACCCCCTCACACAAATTACGAGTTTATTAAGGAGATGGTTTCACTCGACTGGTGCGAAATACGGTACACTTCATTGCCCATTGTGTTACTCTCAACCAGATGCTGTGAGTAGCAGATGAGTCAATAAAAAAAATTGTTGTTCATTGAACGCAAGTTCAAGTAACCAGAATATTGTGTTATTAGATGCATTTTTTGGAGACACCAGTTTAGACATTTTACAACAGGTGAAATATTAAAATCACTAACGTTGTGCACAACGGACTACTTACCATATTATCTTCAATCGGTTCTTGAGATAAACGGAAACCACAACCCTTTGCTGTTATGGGGATTACCACCGTAGTATCGATCGCTGAGGTGAACGAACTAGGATTGACTGGACAATTTGGTTCGTTAGAATTCGCCACCGATGAGTTCAGAGAATAATCCATTGATATAGGAGTGCCATATGGTGTGTCCTGAGCACGTGAACCTGTTCTCAAAGGAGTAACAATCAAAGGAGAGAATCCTGTCAAGGGGCTGCCGGGGGCGTGACTTGTGGCAGCTAGAAAATGCGAAGCCGGTA